CTGTACACTCCAGCAGTTGCTGTTGGCACTGCAGCAGAAGCGGCAGATGCTGCTGTCGCAGCAGCAGCGATGCCGTTTACCCCGGCGCTGCTGCTGCTCCTGCTGCCGCTACAGCTGCTGCTGCTGCGTCCTGCAGCAGCAACTGAGGTTGTGGGGCCGTTTGCTGAAGCAAAGAGGGTCACACGACGGTTTGGCCCATGACAAGCTGCTGCTGATGCTGCCGCTGCGCCGCATCTAATCCGCAGCAGCAGCAGCAGCAGCAGCAGCACGGGGCATCTCTCTCGTCGCTGCTGCTGCTGTTGCTGCTGCTGCTGAGCCTTCAGGCTGTTTCGTCTGTGATACAGAGGCTACCAAATGCCTTACAGGCACCCGCGGAGCTAACTCAGAGAAGGAGGGTGGCGGTAGCAGCATTTGCTGCTGCTGCTGCTGCTGCTGCTGCTGCATCGATGAGCAGCCACAGCAGCAGCAGCAGCAGGTGCTGCTGCTGCTTGTATGGTTTGTCTGCTGAACTCTATTGCGCAAAAGAAGACAGCAGCAGCAGTCTGCACCTCTAAGGATTTGAATCCTTCGTGGCCTTGCAGGATCTCTAGGCAGTTGCTGCTGCTGCTGCTGCTGCTGTTGCTGCTGTGGCGCTGCTGCTGCAGTGCAGCTGCTGCAGCTCCTATGTCCCTCCTACGTAGCTCCAAATAAAGAGGTTTTGTTTATTTTTAATTTCATTTTTAAAACACTGAAGGATAACTAGCAGAAATCCAGCAGCAGCAGCGCACGGACGCGAGCCCGCCTCACCGTGTAGCGTTTAGGGTTTAGGGTTTAGGGTTTAGGGTTTAGGGTTTAGCCAGTTCAGGTTGCTGCTGAAGCCTCGTTGTCTGAATTCAAGGGCTTAGGGCTAACGTTTCGTGGCTGTCGTCTGCGCGCTCTAAGGGTTTGAGTTGCTGCAGAGCCGCGGGAAACCCTAAACCCTAAACCCTAAACCCTAAACCCTCCCTGACGAGCACAACCTCCAGCAGCAACTCGCTGTTCTGGCCCCAGACAGCAAAACCACCCGCGATTTTTAGTGTCCGCAGCTGCAGCAGCAGCACAGCAGCAACGAATAGAGCAGCAGCAGCTGCAGCAGTTACAGATACAACAGCAGCAGCACCAGCAGCAGCTACGGTAGCAGCAGATAGAACAGCAGCAGCAACTACGGTACCGGAAGTTACAGCAGCAGCATTCACAGCAGAAGCAGATACAGTAGCAAAACCAGCTGCACTTACAGCAGCAGCAGAGGCAGTAGGAGCAGCAGCAGACGCAGTAGGAGGAGCAGCAGCAGCAGCTACTGCAGCAACAGGTGCAGCAGCCGCAGATAAGTAGTAGCAGATGCAGCAACAGATTCAGCAGCGGCAGCCAACATCCGATAAATCGAGACAGCAGCAGCAGATATACAGAGACGCCAGCAGCAGCAGCAATCACAGCAGCAGGAACAGCAGCAGCTACGGCACAGGAGCAGCAGCAGGTGCAGCAGCAGCAGGTGCAGCAGCAGCAGCAGCAGTCTCGGCAGCAGCAGCGAAATTAGCAGTTAAAGCTGCAGCAGCAACAACAGCTGCAGCAGCAACAACAGCTGCAGCAGCGACAACAGCTGCAGCAGCAGCACCAGCAACGATGCCAGCCGCAGGAGCAGGAAAAAATATGCCACAGGTGGCAGCGACAGCAGCAGCAGCAGCAGCAGCAGCAGCAGTCCCAGCTCTTTCCTGCTGCCTGCTATCAACGCCTCTACTAGGGCCCAGCGGGTCACTAAAAGCCCTAAACCCTAAACCCCAGTTCGAAACTGCTACGAACATCCAAACTGCAGCAAAACCTCGCATATAGACAAGTGGCAGTAAATGCAAATTAATAAAATGAAAAATAAGTGAAGAAGCAAATAGACAAGTCGACAAATCCTTTTTACAAAAAGCTACAAAAGGCCCCACAATTGGCCCCAGGGGCCCCCAGGGGCCCCCACGGGCCCGCCAGGGGCCCCCAGGGGCCCGCCAGGGGCCCCCGGGGGGCCCCACGGGGCCACAGGGGCCCCCAGGAAGCCCCTGGGACCCCTCAAGTGGCCCTAAGGGCCCCACAATTGGCCTAAATGGCCTCACAATTGGCCCCTTGACAAGGGGGGCCCCCCTACACAACGGGGCCCTTTAAAGGGGGCCCCCCGACCCGCAAGTGACCCCTTTAGGGGCCCCTGAAGGGGCCCATAAAGAAGGGGGGCCCCCAGGCTGCTCCATCGCAGGCTGGGGGCCCCCAGGGCGCCCCCTGGGGCCTCAGAGAGGCCCACGAAGCCCGAAATGACCCTTATGGGATTATAAAGAAAACCCGATCTCCATGAATCCTAAGAGGGCCCCAGGGGGCCCCCAAGGGGCCCCAAAAGGGCCCCAAAAGGGCCCCAAGAGGGCCCCAAAGGGGCCCCAAAAAGGTCTCAAAAGGGCCCCAAAAGGGCCCCAAGGGGCCCCTTGGGGCCCTTAGGGGGCCTCTAAGGAAGATAAGGGCCCATAAAAAGATTCGCGAAGTGGGAGGCCCCAACGGGGGGCCCCTGGCCCTCAATTCTCGACTAATGAGGTACGTGGAGCCTTTCTGCTGCTGCTGCTGCTGCTGCTGCTGCTG